TGGGCGCTATCTAACAAAATGAAATTCAATGGTGAAAAAAGTAAGGTTCTACATTTAGGCAAGAAAAACCAAATGTACAGGTATAGTATAGGGGGTACCTTGCTCAATAGTAGTAACTGTGAGAGGGATCTCGGAGTCCTAGTGGACAATCACTTAAATATGAGCCAGCAGTGTGCTGCAGCTGCCAAAAAAGCCAACAAAGTGCTGGGCTGCATTAACAGAGGGATAGAATCAAGATCACGTGAAGTATTAATACCACTTTACAATGCCTTGGTAAGGCCACACTTGGAATACTGCATCCAGTTTTGGTCACCACAATGTAAAAAGGATGCTGAGATTCTAGAAAGAGTACAGAGAAGAGCAACAAAGATGATTAGGGGACTGGAGGCTAAAACATATAAGGAACGGTTGCTGGAATTGGGTATGTCTAGTTTAACGAAGAGAAGGACGAGGGGGGACATGACAGCAGTGTTCCAATATCTCAGGGGCTGCCACAAAGAAGAGGGAGTCAAGCTATTCTCCAAGGCACTTGAAGGCAGGACAACTTAGAACTAAGGAGAAACTTCCTGACAGTTAGAACAATTAACCAATGGAACAATCTGCCTCCAGAAGCGGTGAATGCTCCAACACTGGAAGTTTTTAAGAAGAGACTGGACAGCCATTTGTCTGAAATGGTGTAGGGTTCCTGCCTGAGCAGGGGGTTGGACTCGATGACCTCCAAAGTCCCTTCCAACTTTTTTTTTATTATTATTATTATTATTATTATTATTATTATTATTATTATTATTATTATTATTATTATTATTATAATAATAATAATAATATAAAAATGAATTGTTTATCAACTGAGATTAGCAGTGGTGGTAATCAGTCTATGCATTTGAATATGATCTTATATCATATATACTTTCCACAGACAAAAGCAATAATTAAAAGTAAATATACTTTTAGAAAAGTTCATAAAGGAACAATTTTAAAAAGATGTTGCATGATTTTTTAAGTATTATGCTTTAATATTAATTTGTTAAAAACAGAATACATCAAAATTTCACTGAACTATTAGAACAGTGGTTTCAGATTATAAAATTTATAATTTGGAACACAGGTTTAAACTATTTCAAATTGCAAGTTTGTAAATCTAAAGTTGCATTATTTAATACAATAGAAATATTTCTGTATTATAAGAGATTTTTTACAGACTTTAAACTGAAGATTTAGAGTTGAAAGCAAGCTTTGTCATATTACAATCAAAGCATATTTTGGAAATGCACATTGATCTTAAGATTTGCATTCATACAGCTTACTAGCAATGGTAGGGTTGGCTATTTTTGCAGTAAAACAAAGTTTGTACAAGTCACACGATTAGTACATTAGTGAAAAATTGCATTAAATAACAAAAAACAATTGCAAGCTAAACTTAAATAACAAATTAGAACAAATAGATGACTTTGGGTACCATGGCAGATAGAAAAATGAGAATGTTTAAGATAGGATGGTAAATGGCAGAGTGCTCTTTTTCAAGCAATGAATGTTTCTCAGCAGAAATAAAAATGGCCCTAAATAAGAATGTGCTTCTGTTCAGTTCGATCTGTAGACAAGAGATAGTATATCAAGAGAAATACTTGAAAGCTGAATAAAGTAGGATGCACTGCGACCAATACAAAAAGAAGTTCATTGAGTTAATTGGTCATGCAGAAAGAATGAATGAGGAATGAGCAAATATTTATAAATTTATTTTACAGTATTTATAATCTGTCTAAGTGAATCTGGGCTGTGTACAATATCATCAAAAAGAAAACTAAACATGTCAGTCAAAATAATATCAATCAAAAACAACAAATAATCACAAAAACCCAAACAAAACCTAAGATAGGTACTCACAGCCAGCCAAAAGTATACTGAAATAAAATTTTTAATATGTTTCCAGATTGCAGCAAGGAGGGGGCTGCATATATTCTGGGAGAAAACATTTTACAAGGTGGAAGTTATGACAAAGGCCTGTTTTGTCAGCCACAACCTGCAAGCCTCATGAAGGCAGGGAACTTTTACTAGGCCCTCTCTTGATGAGCAGACTGGACAGGCAGATTCAGTTCTGGAAAGGAGCCTCATATATCCTTGCACCATTTTACAGCTTTACAGATAATGGCCAGTACTTTTTATTTTTTATTTATATTATTTATACAAATAGCTCAAGGCAATGAACATATCCAACACATCTTCCTCCTACTGTACCCAGAACAACAATCCTGTGAGGTAAGTTGGCTGAGAAAGAATAACTGGCCCAAAGTCATCTAGCCGGCTTTTATGGCTAAACTTTCTACTTTCTAGCTGCCTGACTCTGAAATATTTTTTCCTAAGGGAAAAAAATGGACTCAGGAAGCTACAGACCAATCAACCTGATATCAATACCTGGGAAGATCCTGGAAAAGATAATCAAGCAACAAATCTGCGAACACCTAGAAACAAGCAAAGCTATTACTAAAAGCCAACATAGGTTTGTCATGCCAGAGAAAACTTATTCCATTTTTTGACAAAGTGACAAAATTAGTAGGACTGGAGAAATTCTGTGGATATAGTACACTTGGACCTCAGTAAGGCATTTGACAAAGTAGTCTACTTTGGTAAGACTGAAAAATGTGGAATAGATTGCATCATTACAAGATAGATTCGTAAAGAGGCTAACCAATCACACTCAACTTGTAGTTCTCAATGGAACTACATCAACATGGCGGGAAGCATGCAGCGGAGTATCACAAGGCTTTGTCTTAGCCCAGTACCCTTCAACATCTTCATCAATGATTTACACAAAGGCATAGAAAGGGAAACTCATCAAATTTGCAGACGACATCTATCTGGGGAATAGCCAGCACTTTAGAAGGTAGAATCAAGATCCAAAAGGATATTGACAGACTTGAAAACTGAGCCCTATCTAACAAAATGCAAATCAGTGGTGTGAAAAGGAAGATTTTACACTTTGGCAAGAAAAACCAAATGCACAGATATAGTATAGGTGGTGCCTGGCTCAATAGCAGTAATGTGAAAGGGATCTAGGAGTCCTAGTGGATAATCACTTAAGTATGAGCCAGAAGTGTTCCACAATGGCCAAAAAGGCCAATGCAGTCCTAATCTGCATCAACAGAGGGGCAGTATTAAGATCACGTGAAGTGTTAATACCGTTTTATATTACACTAGTAAGACCACATGTGGAATACTGCATCCAGTTTTGGTCATGATACAAAAAAGATTTGAGACTCTAGAAAGAATGCAGAGAAGACCAACAAAGATGATTAGGGGACAGGAGGCTAAACCGTACGATGAACAATTGAAGGAACCAGGTATGTCTAGTCCAATAAAGAGAAGAATTAAGGGTGATATTACAGCTGTCTTCCAGTATTTGAGAGGATCACACTGAAGAGGAGGTTGAGTTATTCTCCAAAGCACCTGAAGCAGGACAAGATGCAATGGGTAGAATATCATAAAAGAGAGATCCAACCTAGAATTAAGGAGAAATTTCCTGTCAATGAGACCAATCAGTGGAATGGTTTGTTGAGATGGAGGTTTTTAAGTAGAAATTGGACAGCTATTTGTTTGGAATGGTATAGATCTTCTGCTTGGCAATGAGTTGGACTAGAACAGGGGTAGGCAACCTTAGCTCTTTTATGACTCATGGACTTCAACTCCCAGAATTCCTGAGCCAGCCATGCTGAGGGGACAGGGAGAGGTTTCCAAGCTGAGCCATGCTGGCTCAGGAATTCTGGGAGTTGAAGTCCACGAGTCATAAAAGAGCCAAAGTTGCCTACCTCTGGACTAGAAGATCTCTAGAGTCCCTCCCAACTCTATAACTTTGAATCTTTAAGCCTAGAAGCCTATCAGCAATCAATATTTAAAACTAATATAGCTGTAATTCTATATTGGCAGGGCCAATAATTGTGCCACTACATTTTGTATCAGCTGCTGCTGTTGTATCATCTTTGCAGCAATCTCATATAAATTAGTTCAATCAAGTGATTTAAGGCACGAATTACTGAAAATATGAAGTGGAAATGGAGTAAGACAAAAATGAACATCAAGAAAGTGTGATAGAATGTGCACCTGGAGAAGCTATCCTAGGGAGGACGTAGTACATTCCAGAGAGAAGCCCAAATTAAAAGACTGCCCAGTCCTGAGATAGATAGTTCAGGATAGCCACATCCTAGAAAAAAATCTGTTAAGGTACAGTGTTATAGCTGTAATATTGACAAGATCTATCCATTAAGTATAAGCAAATACAGGATTGGACTCAATTGAATTTTACTCTGTTGTCCTTAGGCTTGAGCTTGATAGAAAGTCATGGTTGAATGAAGCTGATGAGATCCTCAAAGAAATTAAGGAATTTAAAGAACAAAAGGCAAACCATTTAGTTTTTTTCTTTAAAAAATCTTTGAAAATGGCTTTACTGAAATCCGGACTTCATGTTCAAATATGCAACGTTCACATCCATTGCAATCTCAATTTTAAAGATTCTGTATTGTAATATTCTGAATCCCATAATTCTTTCCTGACATGTGAGGTTTTGTTTATGTAAACTTATGGAATAGAATAGAATAGAATAGAATCTGGAAGGGACCTTGGAGGTTTTCTAGTCCACCCCCCTACTCAAACAGAACCTATATCTATACCTACTTTATCTATATGCCATCTCCAATTGCTTGTCAGTTCTATACTTTTAAATATGATACACATTCAAGTGTCATTTCCAGTCATAATGAAAGCAACTATGTTAAGCCAATAGTAGTAAAAATTGCCTATACTTTTGTTTTTGAAAAGGAAAGCACATTACAAACAGGATTTGCTTCTAAAAATAAAAATATTTATAGCTCTTTTGTTAATTTGATGATCATTCACAATACAGTAAATGTTATTTTAAAAAGCACTCATGAATATTTCTCCACAGAAAATAAATAGCTCCTTGTAACTTCGAATTGTCACTAAACGAACTGTTGTAACTTCAGGACTACCTGTATTCAAAAGAAAACGTCACACTCTTAAGATGTGTCCTGCCCAAATGTATACAGAAGTGCAATTTATATAAGTCACATAACTGTTATAGAAACAATTAAATGCATATGTCGCACTACTCAGTGGAACAACATCTTGCAAGTTTGGATTTCTAAGAAGTTAAAGCAGAGTCCAACAAAAGAACAACATACAGTAACAGCAACATTCTTCATTATCAACAATAAACAAAAGTAAATTCTCCTTCAAATGGAACCCAAATCTTAGCCCGTAGCTCTCGATTTCATCCATCCAAGTAGTGACCAGGTCCGATCTTAGCTGCCTGAGATTAGGTAAGTGCAGCTAGATGTTTCTAGGTAAGATAGTCTACTTCCTACATAAGTATTTTATTCTTCTTGAATGAGAGCTAATGAAACACAAGAGGGGAAGAAAGAGCAAGGAAGATCCTAAAATGTTTGAGAAAAGGAAAAGCCCTGAAGAAGAAAGTGGGAAGGGCCAGTAACTGAGTAGAACTGTTCACTAACCCAACGCGATGGAAAAAGGGGCAACGGGATAAAGCACAGTTCTCTTAGCCGAGCAGCAACGACAGAAGCAAAGCACGACGGTGGCCTCCACTACTCCAAGCCCCAGGGCCGTGCTTGGCTACAACGGGGTGTCTCGGTTACACACCATACACTACGGAGAGAGATGAGAAGGAGGCGGCCATTCAAATCCGACTCACCGCCTCTCCAACAGCACCATGAGCGGTTTGCCTTCACCACCAGCCCGCCAGGTCGGGGAGCCCGCCAGGTTGGGGAGGGGGCATAGCGCAGCCCTCCCAATTCCCTCCGCGTCGCCCTTTCCCCGCTGTGTCCGCGGCGACTGCTGTAAACGCTGATGTCCTGAAGAGACGTGGCAATGAGGATTGATGCGTTCATCAGTGCGCGACGGCAGGGAGAAGGCGGTATCTGCAAACGCGCTGACCAACCGGGGAAAGGGAAAGGGTCAAGAGTTATGGCAGCCATCTCGTAAGGGGCAAAAACTCCGAAACGCGAGAAACCGTGAGACTGTAGTTGCGTCCTCATGATGCATTAAAGTACAACTAGCCAACCCTAATTTAACCTGGTCCACCTTGAGCACTTAGTCCGAGGGGTTCCCAGTTCGTGGTTCATTGGAAGCCAAATATGTCTTAACGAACGTACCCCTGCCTACTAGTATCTCAGAAACTTATCTATGTAATATTTTTCACGCTCACGTAAAGTATTTAAAATACAGTAAGTCATAATTGCACAAGGGACCAGATACTTTCCCGATTCATAGAGAAGTGTTTATACCGTGGTTCTAAATGAATGCGACAAGAGGGAACGAGTTTGTTATATACAACCTTGTACTCGTCTCTGCGAGGCCGAGAATTGACTCAAAAAACCACTTTTTAGTGTGCGCGCCCACCCGGAGACATCTTGGTGCCAAGGGACAAACGCAAGCCCCGGTTTCCCCACCTCCATGCAGCGCAGTCGCGATTCGGGTTTACTTTTTCAGTGAGGCGTTCGGACGTAAAGCAAGCGGAATGGAACAGTTGAGCACCAGATTTTTTTCACCCCAACATGGGGAGAACAGCTTTAGAAACGCCGTTACAAAAACGGTGTTACCTTATTGAAGACTCAACTTGGCGTCCAGTTACCTGTAAAGCAGCGGTGAAACGATAAACGAACCCACGCTTCCGCCCAGTTGGAGAGCGGAGGGGAGGGGGATGGGGGGGAGAGAGACTCAAGTGTTTTTTCTATTCTATTCTTGTTTCATTTTGGAATTGTTTACTTTCAGGCACTGTTAAGATGCCAGTATGATCCTTGAAACCTGCTCTTTAATGTGACAGTTACTTGTTCAATCTCACTGCTCTACAATTTATGTATGGTATAAAAATGAAGCTGACTAGCCAAACACACTAGAATTAATGTTGCAAGTCAATGAATACTTTCTTCATTGCATTCAAGAGTAGGCAATAAAAAGTCATCCCTTTCATTGGTTAACTTTGTAATCATTTTTTATAGATTAATTCCCAATCAGTTGGGTTATTACACAAAGAGGTAAGGAAACCCCAACAGAAATATTGCTATAGTTTATGTAAGGTTAGTTTATGTAATAGTTTATGTAAGGTTTTCAGTCTTTACGTTTTATATCCTTAATTTATTTCATTGTCTTATTTTTTTATACCCTACCTTTCCTCTAGGGAACTCAAAATAATATACATCACATTCCCTTTTCCAATTTTTCCCAATAATGCTAGGAAACAGGTTGTGCTGAGAAGTGACTCGCCCAAATCAACAAATGAAGTTTTCCTGTTGAAAATGGATTTTGAATCTGAAACGTCCTGGTTCCAATGCAAGATCTTAAACCATTATGCCATACTCATTCTCATTGTAGCAGCAATCTAAGAACGTTTAAACACCAGCTCATCAACACGGTTATCACAGTTGAGAAAATTGCCCACAATAGAGATACACAAAAATATCTTGAACATCTCACAGAATTAGTCGTGACCCATGATGAGAACTAATGGGTCACAATATTGAAAACTGCCAGTATATTCTGTTCTATAAACACTTTCTTGTGCTCAGAATTCCATCATATTAGGAATTTGTCCATCTAAAACATAGTAAATAAGTTATGAAGGGATTTTATTATGCTTAAGCTTGATATTAGTAATATTGACAGTAGTGATACTTTGTAATATATACATACATACATACATATATATATATATGTTTTTCAAAATTTGGAATGCTAACAAAGAATTAAGGGAGTACTGAGATAGCTATTTCTAACCTTATTTGGTTTTCATCAGTCAGACATACCCTTCCGAGATTCGAACCTGGGCTGTCTGCATGTTAAGCAGAAGCATTAGTCCCTTATGCCACAGGCTCTTGGCGACGTTTCGACGAAGTCCCATTCGTCATCTTCAGGCTGATATTTTCAGCTTCGTGCTTCTAGGAGCAGTGTGTGATAGCAGCTGTTTCTTCCTTTTAACTGCCAGTGGGGGTTTGAACTGATTGGGTGGGAGCTTGGCTGTGTTCTGATTGGGTGGAGGTGTGTTCTGATTGGTTAGGAGCTTGGCTGTGTTCTGATTGGATGGGGGTTGGCTGTGCTCTGATTGGATGGGGGTGTGTTCTGTTTGGGTGGGGGGCTTTGTGCTCGGGTTAGTCTGAGTAGCAGGGGGATTTGAGATGGTGGGCTGCGTTGCTGCTGTTTGGCTTCGCGTTCGTGGTCGTGCCACCTCTTCATGGTGGATGTCAGTTTGTTTCATGTATGGATTAGAGAGGTTTAAAGTGGCTGATGATGCAGCTGTGGTCTGGCTTCTGGGACGGAGAGACCTCGATTGAAAGAAGAAAGGGGGGGGATGGAAGGTGTGGGAAGAGGAGGAGAGGGAGAACGACGGGGAGGAGGAGGAGAAGGAGAACAACACGGTCCCGCCTTAGGGGTGATCACACGTCCTCGGGCGGCCGCCTCACGAGTGTGGGAAATGGCTTTGGCGGGGAGAGAGAGGGGAGAGATGAAGGGTATGGGAAACACGGAGGAGATGGAGGGGGGGAAAAGGCCGAATGGATGGAGAGATGTGCCTGCAGAGCAAGGTGGAGGGCAACGTAAGGGCAGATGTGTGCTCCCGACCAGTTAATGGGGATGAAGTATGCAAGTATGCAAGTTGCGCAGGGATAGGAACAGCGCAGGTGAGTTAGCTAAGTAGAACGAAAGCGGGGTGGGAACGGCGATTGGCTGGTGGAGCTCCGTGGTAGCGCCCATGGGCCGGGTGCAAAGGTGGCTTGATTATAAAAAGCGTGCTCCCATTGACCTACATAGATCCCTGAAGATGCCGGCAGTGAGCCGGTGAAAGCTTGGGTCGTTATTTATTAAAACTTTTGTAGTTTTTTACTTTCCTGGTGTTCACTTTTGTTTATATTCTTATCTCATATATATATATATTTATGTGCAAGCAGCTTTGTAGGTGCTTTATATTGGGAAATTAGTTATATAAAAGCAAATGTTTCATGCTCTAGGTACAGGTGATTGCTTACATGAAAAGAGCGTGGTAAGGGGAGGGGGAAAAGGAGTTACGGATGGAGCCTGGGTTGCTGTGTATGAGTCATCATCTAGGAATTGTTTTTTTGTGCTATCTTATACCTGGTACCAAGACCTGATCTTTTTATTCTGGAAAGGTATAAAAGGTGGAAGACATCCTTCCTGGTTGTTGCCTTCATCTCTCTACCACCCACGAAGAGAGATGGGATCACCCAACTCTATTTTAATTAAAATAAAAGTTGTTTGCTTGCTGAAACTCGGCTCAGGAGTTTCTTTGGCTCTTTTAAATTCCTGAGTAATGCTGGGACAATTGTGAGGCTAGGTGGAAAACCTTACAGTTAAGTTCAGCAATTTTATACTGAATTTAATGGAAACATCCAGTTTCTGAATATTTTTTCAAAAAAATCAATAAACCTGCAAAATAACTGACTGATTGCAATAACTACTATACAGTATTACAGTACTCTCAGGAAACCGATGCTATAATTTATGCAAAGAAATGTGATGTATGCAAAAACACACATATTGCTATGGTATATTTGCTTTTTTTGTAGAAAATATTTTGTAAATTTTGTAGAAAATAGCAATCCAGAGTGAAATGCCAATTTTTTAAATTGAATTTCCAACAGTATTTTGTACAAATGGAAAACAAAAGTTAAAAAAGACTGATTTTAGTATTTGAAAAGAAAATAATTGAAAGAAAGCTGAATTTTTGGCCATTGAAGAAAATTCAGAAAAAAAATTGTAATGAATCATCCATTTCTCTCCTTAATTTATACTGTTGAAAAAAAATCATATTTTTTAATCAAAGCAATGCTTTGGTGATGAATAAATTAATTCAATTTTCTGGTGTCAAGTTTCCAAGCACCTGTTAGGTATCGAAGTCGTATAAAAAGCAGGTCCCTGCCCATCTGCAACCAACTCCAGAAGGGAACCAACTTAGAACCTATGATTATTAAAAATAATAAAATTTATGTTATACATACATATATAAGGCAATTATTTCAGAATCACTAATTTTTAATTTGCTCTGAAATATATTAAATTTATAGTTCTAATGTGAAATGTAGCAAAGGGGCACAAAATTATAATCTCAAGTGAAAATAGACAATATTCAGTTGTATTATTTTGCTAGCAGATTATTGTTCCCTAGTTTTCCCACTTCCTAGCACTTTTGCTCCAGAGAGTTGGGACACTCCAAAGCACATCTGGGAATGCATGGGGCAATGTGAAGAGGCTGTAGAAGCAAAGATCTGCTTAGGTATGGTAAACATATTCTATCTTTTCAACATTTGCTACCTAAAAATAGGATAACCAATTTTTGTATCCTTAGAGGGGATACAAGAGGTTCCACATAGGTTGGGGAGGTTGTGCGTAGGTGTGTGAATAGCCAGCACAAGTGTAGAGGTCTGGGGAGGGTGCGTGGGTGGAGAAGACTTTACTCCAGGGACTTGCAATCTGCCCTGTCAGCTTTTGCATTGACTTTCTGAGGAAACAGGTAGGAAAAGGTGCAAATGGTAATCATGTGATCAAGAGTGCTTGGCAATTGGTCATAAGTGCGAATGGGTTGCCAAGTGCCCAGATTAAGATCATGTGGCATGCTTGTAACTTCAAAGCCAGTTGTAAGTCTCTTCGTGCAGCAGTGTCATAACTTTGAACAATTGCTGAATGAGTGGTCATATGTACAATGGGCTATCTGTGCAGAACTGTTCTTGTTAGATGGAGTACTTGTGGACTGGAATCATCTGAGCAACCCAAAAAACAAAGCTCTTGGCCCACTCAGAAGTCACTGTGAAATTGATTCTGCTAATTATAGGGGAAAATAAGAAATGCTAAAAAACTCCTAGAATTT